CACGTTTTCTAAGCAGAAGGGTGGGTTGTAGTCGCGGTGCTTCACCGTTACATCCCCTTCTCGTGTCTACGGGGCAAACGCAAAGACGACGGGTTTAAGCAGGCCGAAGGCCCGCTTCATCATTCGATCATTTTCTTTAGCAAATCGCGTGACAGAAATGGTCGGGCCGCAGGCCCGCCCATCGCCGCCGGCAGGCCGAGCAGGCCCGGCCCCTGCCGAAATGAGTTGCCGGCGGAGCGAAGCGGAGCTGGCAACTATGTTTGGCGGAAGGGCGGGCCTGCTTGTTGTCCTTGTACGTAGCTTCAGCCACCCACACGTTGGCCAACGTGTTGTTCTTATCACAAAGAACCATTTCCAGGTGCAGCCCATCGCTTGTTAACCCCCTAGCCCTCAAAAATCGAAAATTAAAATGCACACAATATCTATTATAAATTTTTTATGGCCCCGTGCGAGTATGCAACCCGCCCTCACGCCTGCACATAGTACAGTAGCACGACGGCCGGCGTAAGTGGGCCACCCCGCATGTTCAAAATTCCAGATCTACCAGGGAGTAAAATAACTATTATTTTTACCTGGCATGGCTATGGTGTACACACAATGCTAAAAATATATTTCTGAAGCTTTGGGTAAAAAGGCATGTGAGACGAAGATATACGGTTGTGATGATGACTTTGAGTTTACTTGTGGTTCACCGATGTTTTACTCTGTTTTGTTTCACTTTACAGTTTACTTCGCACCGTTTCTCAATAGCGTGGTCTCGTGTTCTCCCCACTGGTGGTGTAGATAATATCAACGAGAAAGGTGTTAAGTTCTACAAAGATTATATTGATGAAGTAATTAAGAACGGTATGGTGCCGATGGTAAGGCTTGCCTAAAATACTTTTTCAATCGTGATATGATATGTTGTGTACCTAAGACTTAACATTTAAGACCTAGACATGGGCATTTAGACATGTGAAAGAATCAAACTGAATTGATAAGATCTTTGTAAAAACAACTCCAAAAATGTTTTAGCGGGTGGGGTTGAAATGGGACGAAGGGAGTTCTCTCGGGTTCAACATCATACTCACACTAAGTGTATTTGGTTTAAACACTTAAAACTAACCTTCAAACAGGTTTATATTTTTAATGCCCTGGCAAGTGTAGCTTCACAAACCAGGAAAGAACACCAGATTGTATAAGGTTTTATGAACATGCGTGTAGGCTTGTTGACCGTTCCTGACAACTGACAATTATTACGAGTTGTGATCTACGCTGTCATAACATTGTGAACAATTCGTTAGATGTTGTTCGGTTTATCATTAACAACCTATGTTTATCTGTAGGTCACCATGCTGCATTTTGACCAGCCATACGTGGTGGAGGATGTAACAGGAGGCTGGGGCTCTCCTGAGATGATTGACAGATACGTTGAGTATGCCGACTTCTTATTCAAAACTTTCGGAGAAAAGGTGAGGACGAGGATACACTCAAGGTTTCCATGGACTTATTGCTACTAACTCATGAAATTTCGCATGTTTTAAGCTAATATCGTATTTTATTTGTTGCTTTTTGTCACTTTTAGTAACTAACATCACGCTATATTTTAATTTGAACTGGCTGGAACATGCATTTAGAATCACTTAGGAGAATTTACAATTAAGTACTAAGAGCTTACAGGAGAGTGTACGACTAGTAGGCTAGTAAAAACTAAAACAAGACATTTGTCCGATATATTTCGGAAGTTATTGCAGGATTGTGTAGTTACTGCGCTCTCACACTTGTTTTAGGCTTGAGTACGGTTATTGCGCGATTTTGCGCTGTTAGTACAACTTAATAGGCTATTAGTACAGGCCTAGATGGTCTAGTTAAGTTACAAAATATGTTATTTTCTCTTTGACGCAGATGTTCAGAAGAAAGTAGCATGAAAGGCCTGGGTCATTTAGAGTGAAGAAAAGATCAATACCATTGATTGACACTAAGTGCCCTTTTTTTAAAAAAGGAACAAGGTGTTTGTGCCCAAGATTGCAATATTTACTTCATACTCCCTTTGTTTTAAATGGAGAGAAACACTTTTTGGGTCAGTTACCAGGACAGTAAACACGGAGTTCGTGGCGGGGCGATGGCGGGGTGGGTCCGGACAACGTCGTAGACCTATGTGCTTCCAAAGATGTGGGGTTTGGTTTTCAAATCAGAACAACAGTGAAACAAAAATTTAATTTGAAATCCTTTTTCTTCTTCTTGTTTTGCTGATTCATGGACCTGAGTCAAACACCAAAACCTATAAAGAAAACTATGTTGTTACACAGATCCGCTATAAACTCTGTGTTTATACAGAACTACTACGAACGAGTGTTGAAGGGAGCCAGCCGCAAGGTTTTAGTTGTCAGCTTCGGATCCTTTTTTTGTGCGCATTATGTGCATTACGTTGTAGTACTTGCAATCTTGTGCTTACTTGTTGTTGTTTTTTTTTTCAGTACTCTCAAGCACAACCAAGTTTGTTAATTTATACTTTGGCTGTCCGACATTATATGTCCGCAGATATACAATCTCATGAGATTCAACAGAGTGCCCGGTTTTAAGCGTCGGATGACGACTGCTTATTAAGACATTTAATACCAATTTTCAGGTGAAGTATTGGAACACTATCAATGAGCCCAACATGTATTGCCATTACTTTCGCAACAAGAAGAACACGACGAATCCTCAAGAAGAGCCATACTACCCGTGTATGCACAACATTATTATAGCGCACGCGAAGACCTATCGGCTTTACAAGAACAAGTATCAAGCAAAGCAAAAAGGTATGTATTCTTAGCTATGCGCACTCTCATTTCTTTACGGATGCGCTACCTTTATAATACGGAGATTTTTTTCCCAATCTTCATACGGATTACGAATCTTCTGTAATACGGTTAAAATCATCCGTCATACGAATAATTTCATCCATATTAGAAACGTGCAGCATGGACTAAATTCATCGTAACTTACGGATCAAGCAATAGTTGTAATACGGATGAAATTATCCATATAACGGATGACTTTAACCGTATTACAGTTGATTTGTGATGCGTATTACGATTGCACAATGTTGTCCGTATTACGGAGGTAGCGCATCCGTAGGGAAATGAGAGTGCGTATCGATGCGCAGAGGCCATCCATGTTTCATAAACATAGTTGCATTCTACTTGTGTGTTCTTATACTTGACTTCTTCAGGAAAAGTGGGTACGTCTGTGGTGATGTGGCCAGCAACACCAAAGACTACGCGGTCAGAGGATGTGATGGCGTCCGAAACATTCAATCAGTTGTTTGCTGGCACACTTGTCCACCCGCTTGTGTTCGGGGACTATCATCCTTTGTTGCGTTATCTTGTGGATAAGCACGATGCCGAGGAGGGCGTTACTACACCTCGCCTGCCGGAGTTGACTACCGAAGAAAAACAGTTACTCGCGGGTTTGTATTAAATATGGCTCGTGTTCAACTGACTACCATTGCATGCGATTCACGCCGTGTCCCAGACTGTGAGATACTGGATGAAGTATGTGGGTCTCTCACCCAGAAAAATGGTTTCTTGATTCAAGTGCACGCTGACACAAGATGAAATTCATCCTTGAAACAAGCCAATTTTGTCTTTGGAATAAGATTTTTCTCTTATTCGAAGGAAAATAGCAGCTTTCTTCAAGAGTAAATTTGATCTTGTGTCAGCGTGCACTTGACATAAAGGAAAAATTGACTTGAAACAAGAAACGATTTCTCTGGGTGTTGAAAGTCAAAGTTTTATGACTTAAAGACTTGCAAATAAGACGGTAGATGCACGCACAACCCGGTATAGTTGACCGAAGCCTGAGCGGAGCGAGTGCACTCGCAAAAATGTTTTCTTGCCCCAATATCAAAAATATTCTTGACTCAATTTTACTTGGGATGAGAATAATTTTCTTGAGTGAAGACGATTTTTCTCGTTCGAAGAAACATGGTTTTATTCCCACAAGAAGAAGATATCCTTGATACATTCTGCTTAGCCCAAGAAAATAATATGCTGGTGCGAAGAAACATGTAACTGGGCCGGGCGGGCGTGGGTGCGGGGTGGACGGGCGGATTAGGGTGGAGCGCGCGGGAGGACCGGGCTACCTGAGGTACAAAGGCAGCGCTGGAGACACGGTCACGCATGTGGCTTCATAGCTAAAAAAAAAAAAAAAAAAAAAAAAAAACAAACGGTTACTGCTTACGCTTTAGCGCTGAGTTGACACGAGCAGGGTTCGAATCCCGGCAGTGCCAAATGAAGGCATAAGTTGCATTAAGGAGAATCGGACCAGCTATCACTACCGTCTTAACCCACTGTGAGACAGAGTTCAAGACTGTCTCCGGGGGCACTATTTCACTTATTACAGCCAAGACTAAATATTCTTGGGATAAGAAAATAATTCTTGAAGTAAGATTGTTATGGAGGATTGACACATCAAACAAATTTCTTGGGCCGAGAATACGAATTCTTGTAGAAGTGACAAGAATAAAATATTCTTGGCTCAAGTAGATTTCGGTTGCGGCAAGAAAACATTTTTGTGAGTGTGGCATTGTGCATACCTTCTTTACTTCAACTTCAGCGCAGCTGTCGTATGCTGCCCGTGGCGGTTCACTAGCCGGGCGAGCCACCGGTAGCTCGAAAGCCGCGTGTTTAAAGGGGCCTGCTTAGACTCAAGTGCATGTGATAACTTGTCAGGGCAGTTACACACTGTTTAAAGAGCCATAACGCCGAGCCTAACGCGAGCCAGGTGGCCGTTATTCCTCTGAGTTTTCATAGTGCAACACCTTATAACGTGGGGGGACTACAGTCCTTAGTTTCCTCGAAGAGGTACTTTTTTAAACGGACCCGTTTCTGCCAGACAGGGGGGAGGTGCGACATGGTTTAACACCATACCTGTTGCATTTTCGGCCGCATCTGGGTAACGTTCACCAGTCAACAGAACACCGAGAGGGCCACCACTCGCGTAATCATATATATTTGATGGTATTGGAGCCTAAAATTCATCAACATTCACGTGTAATCACTCAAAATTGACGTGTAATCCCTGTTATCACGCAATCTTGTGTACATTCTCAATCGAAGTGGTGGCCCCCTCGCAGAACACCCTGACTACTTGGCTCCCCGCGCCAAAAAAAATTCGTCAGTACTTAAAAACTGCACACCGCATCGATTTCAGACTAAAGGTGTATTGAAAGCATAAATGGACGCTAATATTGCCGTTGGCGCCGGTGTGCGCACATGAACAAGCCCATCTTCGCCTCCAACTGGGCGATGCAGCCCTTCTCGGTGTGAAGGATTATTCTGTATCGGGTCGGTCTGCAACTGTAAAAAAATGCTAGTTACTCTTAAATGATGCCGTCAGTGGTTGACCTTAAAACCTTTAAGACCTTTAGTCTTAAATCGATGCGGGGAGTGGTTTTACTGTACTGACCATTTTCTAAAACTCTTCATTTCACAAGTCTGCCCCCTTAAACTAAAGGTACCTAATAAACAAAGATAGCACCCAAAAAGGTGCATACACAAAGGCCACATTCCCTAACCCGTGGGTTCGTTTCGCAGTTAACAAGTATTGTTAACGTTTTTACTACCCATAACTGTGCTGACGTTTCTGACCCGTTCACCTTTTCCAACTTGTGGTAACTCGCTTTTGCTTACGACTACTTTTTACTTTTTTCTAAGCGGACAACGATATTTGGGCATTAAAGGGACGTGTTTTTACTGTTTGCTATTCTTCGACTTGTGAAGTAACTTGGAATTGGAAATAAAGTACTTTTGTCAACTTCGGAATCGGAATTATGTGCTTGTGTTTTCAATTGAGCGGGTATGGCCTTAAATTTTAGCCCGACTCTGCATTGATTACAGTAGCCTAGGGCGGGCCAAAATTATAGGCCATGCCCGCCCAATCGAAGAGACTAATGTGTGCACGCCAGTTTTACACTGAAGGATTGTTTGTGTTCTCTGCCTTTCTAAATAAGAGCATGTGTTTTTCCTTGAAAGGGGGAACCACCGACTTCATAGCTCTAAATGTGTACAGTAAGTGTACAGCCAGCTACAACCACAATCAAACATCTAGTGCCCAGGAATCTGTTCTCCTGGGTCCTGTAATGAGAGACATGCCCTTCGTCGAGGTTACCGGCATTGGCGACTTTAGTGCGGTATGATAACCCCGTTTTTTACTCTCTATTTTCAACGGTTCAATACGTAAATGTCCTTCTGTCTCAGCGAAAGCGGTCAGATGGTGTTTGCTAATGTTACTTTCAGCCAGGAGAAAGAAAAAGCAGTAGCAACCATCAAATCAGGGACCACTTACAAATATGGTCGAGGCAACATTAACGTATTTGTGACCATAATTATAACTTTGGGTGATTGTAGCGTAGACCATGTTTTAAGGAAGTCCCTGAACTAACCAGCACTGATACATGAACTGTGATAACGTTAAAAAAGAGTGCGCCCACACGTTTTATTGCCATACCCCTGAAGTACCGCTCTTTTGAACATGATAACTTTTACTCGATAAAATGCGATGGAATAAGTAGGGAGAAATTATCACCAAACAAAATATAACTTTTTGACGCAAGGAGTATTTGTTGCCTCTAACTTTAGAAAAGACATTTAAAATTAGCCGAAGTAAAATTTAACATTGTGTGACTTATTTTCATGACGTCTAGACCGAAGAGTCTCTAATGCAGGATGCTCTCATGTGGACGTGGAGCAATTACCACACTCCAATCATCATCTCCGAGAACGGCTACGGTGACTCCCAGCATCTAGGAGTGAAGGATACCGCCCGGGCTGCATATTTAAGTGTAAGCCCAGTGTTCTAGTGTGGTCGACGATCTCTTTTTCATTGCTTGCCTTCAAATTACAAGGGTCACCTAGGTAACGATTATAGGATGACCTTGAATTTGATCATACCGTCCAAATCCAACAGTTAAACTGTGCTATACTTGTAAGTGTGGAACAAACTTTTCCGCACTTGCAACAGTGAAACAACGATGTCTTTCTGTTTCAAAAGTGGCAATTGCCGTACTTCTAGGGCATATTCTGACTTTTAGAAGCGTACGACCTACGCTGCAACACTGAATAAACGCCCCCAAAGTATTGGAAGTCCAACGTTTGCAACAGTAGGTCAGCGTTGTCTGGCGCAAGTGTGTGAGTGTGTGTTCCACACTTGCAAGGAGAAGCGAAGAGAGGAATTTTCCTCCACACATGCAAGTGTAGAAAAGACCCACTGTTGGATCTCCAGAGTATCTCTTATACGCCTCAGCCGCCCCCCACCGCCTCATCATTTTCAGTCTAATGATGACCTCTTTTCCAGGTAAACCTCCGTACACTAGCACGCACCATTAAAGAATACGACGTAGAGGTTCTTGCATACTATGTATGGGCCTTAATGGATGTTTGGGAGTTTACCGCGGGTTACCTTGAGTAAGTATGAGATTTCTGCATCGGAAAAATGAGAAGCACGTTGCCTAAGGTGAACCAAATTTTTTAATTTAGAAGAGTTTTGACAAAACTTTGTTAATGGGACACCATGGACCATGGGGAGGTCCAGTTTACCATGAACAAGCAGTCATAAATCCTTTCTAAAGCTAAAAAAGCTTGTTGCTGTTGAGGCGGCAAGCAACTGCCTCTAGCATCGCGTGTACAGCGGCCAGAAAATCGTCGGGATAAAAGTTAATGAAAATCAGTCGAAATTCGGCGGGAAACGCAAGGGATCAATCCTACATAGTCAAATAATCGTTGTTCTCTGCTAGATATCGTAAGCAAGAAATGAAAAGGCCGAGTTGTTAGAAATCAAGAATCTAGGTAATCATGTGTACACATCAAAAGAGAGTAGTGACGCGATCGGGAATTATCTGAAAACAATTAGGCCTATTGCTTACGGAGAAAATCCGAAGGGACCATGCTTAAAGTCAAACTTTGCAGAGAAAATCTGGTTATTACCGCCACCGACAAATCAAATCCCACATTTGTCGGTGATAGCCCATGCTGAAAAATAATCACGGTTTTTGCTCCAAAAGCTCAATAACTCATTTAACAACAAAACCAGTTTTTTAGCCCGCCCTTCTGCTTTTAAAGAAGCATTAAAGCGGGCTTATGCAACAGAGGTGTACATGCGAGGCAGAATTCTGCCTCGCGCTGCCTCGCAGCCGATATTCCCTTGCCTCGCGCCTGCCTCGCCTCGCGCTCGCCAGCCGAAGTTCTGCGAGCCTCGCCCCGGACCTTCGAGACTCGCAATGTGCGAGGCAGGCGGTGCCTCGCAGAGCGGAGCTGGAGATGACCAATGACCATCTACACCTTTCCCGCCCAGCTAACGGCGCTGCCATTGGCTGGCCACGCTAAAACGATGGTCTCAGCGAGTGGCGCATGGTGCGCGAGACACGGTGACTCGCGCTGCCTCGCAGCAAGGCTGCCTCGCGCAGTCCAGCCCCAAATACATCCGAAGATGGAAGCCATTGCCCGAAGCGGCTGCCCCGCGGCCGATTCTGCGAAACAGCGCGAGGCAGAAGTCTGCCTCGCATGCACTCCTCTGATAAACACATTACCACGAACCTCTATTTTCGCAAGCCTTCTGCCTGAAAATTAATCAAAATACTGTCCTCTGATTTTATTGTACGTTGCAGGCGACCTTTTGGACTTATTCACGTCGACTACGAGAACGGAAGTCTAAACCGCACGCTTAAGGACTCAGCTAAATTCTTTATAGAATTAGGCACATCAGGGATAGTGCCATCTGTTCCTGCACCAGAAAATGGGGGCATATCTTCAAGCAGTACTTCAGTCACAGCAACTGGATTGCTTCTTTCAGCCCTGTGGTTAGCAATACGGCCGATGACTTGACCTTCTAGATGTCTTACTTACCAGCCAAGTCCACTCAAAAAATTGTCCTCTTGAAAAACAAGCTAATCGTTTCCTCAAATGATTCATCTGAAGAATATACTATATTATAGAATATTATCTGGCAATGCGATTTCCTCTAATGTAGTATACTATTGTTTACCCAAGGAGGAATGGAAAGTCATCTTGACATCAGGTTGACATCATTTCATGGTCAGCATGAAAAAGTCACAATGACCTCAAAATGGTCCCCTAAATTGACATCAACCTGCACTACATATGGCATCAGTTGGACCTAAATCTGACCTCAGTCATATTGACATCAAAATGACTCACAGTGCCCCGGATTATTGACACTAAAATGACTTGAAATGACTTCTACTATTCCCGAGAGAGGAATGGGACCATTGCTCTAAGAAATTTGCAGGGAAAATATATGTAATCTTTCAAATATCAGAATTATGTTTGTCAAACTTTCTTGTAAGTCAACAAAAAATAGAACCGTTTACAAAGCTTTGAAACGCGTAACACAAAATAATAAAAAGAAGGTGGCTGAGCAAGAGCAGCCTATTACTCCCGTGATCTAATATGTTTTGTGTCTGCTTGTCTTTCTGTATGCACAATAACTCGAACAGATTGAGCTTGTATATGTTTTTATGTGAATGTACAGTTGACTGAAGCCCAATGTGCTTTTGATCTCCAAATAAATCTGATTTAACTACCCTAAGGTTAAAATTTGTTCTTACATTTCATAGTACATCCAATCGATAATTAAATAAGTGCTTAGTAGGAAACAAAAAGTGGGATACAATTCACCTGTCATTTAACAGAGGTGCGTATGTCACTGATTTTTCAAAAATCACTTTTTTACACTATGTACTTAAACAGGTCCTGCATCACATGCAGAAGAGAAATATTGAAAACTCACAATTGAATAGGCTTGGATGCAATGGTAAAATATGCGTATGTCACAAGTCATCTGACAAAATATACGTATGTCAATGACATACGCACATTTGACTAGATTTTTGCTGACATGCGCACATTTTGTCAGATGACAGTGACATACGCTCATTTGTCCGATGGAATTTCTGTTGACATACGCTTGTTGGTCAGATGACACTGACATGCGCACAATTTAAATGACTTTCATTGAATAACTTTGTAGAATTAAGTTTGCATGCTGACATTTGTCTCCAAGCTACTCGGGTGCTCCGACATTAGCATGAGGCAAATCTATCAGAAATAAGGTACAGACTAATTGGCTGAGCGATTAGCGAAGCTAATTACTCCAATGATGATCAAAAAGTTTCGCGTCTCTCTGTGTGTTTGTCTGTCATCACGATAACTCAACCAGCAGGCCCGCCCTTCCGCCAAACGGAATTGCCAGCACCACTTCGCTGCGCCGGCAACTCCGTTCGGCAGGGGCCGGGCCTGCTTGGCCTGCCGGCGGCGATTGTCGGGTCTGGCGATTTACTGAAGTGCATAATTAAATAAATAATGTGACCGCGGTAAATCACTTTGCACATTTGAGTAAACTAACGCGTCCGGTGGGGGGCCTGCGGCCCTAGGAATTTGCTCCTTGGACATGACAAAAGACTGTAACGGGGCAACACCGTGACTACAACCGCACCCTTCTGCTTTGCTTAAGAATTAAAAAAAAGAACCCGCGCAGATTGTATGTTATAGATTGTATATTGTGTGTCAAACAGTCTTAAAACTTGACGTTTTGCAATAGCTTTCAATGTATCCACCTCTACCTCTAGCTCCTGAACGGTCAAAGATACGGTAAATCGAAGGGTAGCATCTCACTCAGAATGTGCTGTTTGGGGGGGGGGGACTTCCTCTGACATTTTACGATTGAACGCCTCCTTGTACGTCTTCATGTGCAACTTGGTCATTTTCACCGTATTTTCGTCGAAAAAAACACTCTAGCGCCTAAACGGTTCAAGATAGAGGCAAACAAACGAAATTTTAGCCCGCAAGGGCTTTACTTTCACGAGTTATTCCTAAGGGAACCATAAAAAATAATTAATTTTCTTCTTTTTGGACCAACCCCTATTTCTTTGTTACCCCCTTTCACCCCCTTAGGGCAGGGGTAGTTGCCAGGCTTTGCACCAGGCGTTTCGTTGTCCAGGAGGGACCCCTAAGATACCCTGAAATTTGCACGGAGGGGCTCACAAGCGCAACCGATCGCAACCACAACGGGTCGCAAGCGCAACGGCTCGCAAGCGCAACTGGGTCACAAGCGCAGCGTACAAGCTCGCAATTACTTAGGAAGATGATTTTAAGTACTTGCTAACAAAATAATTAGTATAACTTACTAAATTTGTGAGTATTACGTGCAATTTGTGAGTATTACTGCTGTATAAGCAAGTTCATTGTGTATTTGCAAAATGTCAGTAACGGGCTGAGAGTGTGATTTGTACTCGCAGAAGTGTGTGTACTCCGCAGATTTTGTGCATTCGGTTACGTCAATTCGTCGCCGTTCTGTACAACTCTGGTTGCGTTTCTCCGAGAAAGGTTTCTCTGAAAGTGAGGCGACCGATACATAACCTCTGCGAGCTTGTACTTTGTGTTAACAACTCGTGTTGTTTCACTTGGTACACATGACACAGCAGCGAATAGTGCCCGAAATTAGCACTTACTTCGCTGGGGTTGGGTTAGCTCGTTCGGCATAGCGCCGCACACATTTACATCAAAGCAAGGAGAAATGTTAATCTCCGCTCCTTTCAACGTTGCCGCTGATCACCGAATCGTAACCTTTCCCGGAGAAACGCAACCAGAGTTGCACAGAACGGCGACGATTTGAAGTAACCGAATGCACAAAATCTGCGGAGTACACACACTTCTGCGAGTACAAATCACTTGCGTCGAAATGTACGGTGAGTGCACCGCGGGCGCCGCCGCCGCCGGACACCATTTCCCGACTTCCAGCTCACTTCAACACCATTAATAATTATTTATTTACCGCAAGAGTAATCGCTGCCGCGCCAACGCGGGCGCAGTGCGTGTGTCAAAACGTTTGAAAGTGTCTGAGAGGTATTACATTCTACACGAGAAGTCGTGCGAGAAGTGCACATCGACAGCGACCAAAGGCTTGGTTGATTTCTCATCCAGAGCGCGCTCTCCGCTCCCGCTCCTGGCTTCCTTTATAGTCGATGCCGTCTAACAGGCGGCTCCCCGCGGTTGCGCTTGTGACCCGTTGCGCTTGCGACCCGTTGCGGTTGTGGCCCGTTGCGATTGTGACCCGTTGCGCTTGTGCTTGTGACCCAGTTGCGCTTGCGAGCCGTTGCGCTTGCGACCCGTTGCGGTTGCGATCGGTTGCGCTTGTGAGCTACGTCGAAATTTGCACACCTCTAGCTCAGACACAAAAACGAATTGAGCTAGCGACCTGGGATTTTCAGGGTCGTTTTGTGTCATCAAAAGAAAGATCGACTTCGAAGAAGAGCATTCTAGTCGGATTCTAGCTCAAAAATTGGATTTAAAAAAAATCAAAAACCACAGGTCCCACAAATAATGTTTCTTCTGTCCGTTTGGCTCTATCTTTGCGATACCCGACTCGCGTGTCAGCGCCGCAGGCCTAGGTAGATGTATGCCAGGCGCGTCGCAGCGCAACAGTGTTTCGTGAGATATCGCGAAGCCTGTTCCGCGAGACGTGGTCT